ATCTTGACCGCTAGAAGTTTTATCTTCTCCCCAGTGGTGGATGTACAAAATGTGGTTCAAGTGGATCTGAAAACATTAGAAATTGTATCGGCGCAACCAACGAAAGGTCCACTCCGAGGTGGAACTCCAGTGATTTTAACTCTATCGACAATATTTCCAAGCGCAATCGTGTTCTGTAGCTTTGGTGCTGAAGTCGTTCGTGGCGCTGTGAAGACAAACCAAGTCGAGTGTGTTGTACCCAAAGCAAGGGACAGTTCGGTTGGCTATCGGCGCCAACGGAGTCGACTTCGAGGTTTTCGTTGCTGAATTTGAATATTTCGAGGACACTTCGCGAGGTTGGAAAGTTACACCACTCAATGGGGTCATCGGCGGAGGCACTTTGTTACACATTTCAGGAACTTCATTCGATGAAGATGGCAGCTATTCCTGCAATATTGGAGCACAAATTGTACGAGCAGAATACGCAAATGCCACCCACGTTGGCTGCCGGACACCTGCCGTGACGAAGCCGCAGCAGGTCGCAGTCAAAATATCCGACAACGAAGTCGACTTTTCTGAATTCAACTTGACCTTCGCGTATGTGGAACCGCTTTTCGTTAGCAGAATTTATCCAGTGAGTGGAGATATCGAAGGCGGTCAGCTTGTGAATGTCGTTGGAGGGAACTTCACTGCAGGAGCTGAGACGATCACGTGTCGGTTTGGAGACGTGGTGACAAACGCTACTGTCCTATCGGCTTCAAATGCGCAATGTGCAGCTCCAAAGCTACAGCCGATTAGAGACATACAAAGCGTGAAGCTAGCAACCAAACCTTTTACCGCAGAAATCCAACGCGTCACAGTAGCGTCATCACCCTTACAGCCAACCGTTCAAGAGATTTCCACGTCTGGAGACGTTAGAGTACCGGAGATCCAGAAATTCACCATATCAGGCGATGTTGTGCACGAGATACAGTCCATACAAGTTAGTTCGCAAGCATATTCGGGTGAGATATTCGCCATTACGAGCTCCATTTCGCCACTGGTTAACGAAGTTCAGACGCTTGAGTTACGAGCTTCTTCGTTTATCGGCGGCTCCTTTCGCCTCGTGTTGGAGAAGCGCCAAACTGATATTTTGACCTCGTACGCTACATCTCAAGAAGTTGAGAACTCGTTAGAAATTCTAGACAATATTGGAAGAGTTACTGTCACGAAAGTTACGCAGGGTTTACTGGGTTCGTGCACTTGGACGATCGAGTTTCTTGACCGTGTTGGAGACGTGCCGATGTTGGAGGTTATCAACGTCTCGCTCGGTGACTCCGGCTCGTACGACCTCTTTATCGGAGTCTCTGAGACCGTTAAAGGACAAGGAGCGCCTCTTTCCGGCACGTTTACTCTTGATGTTGATGGTAAAACCACCTCTCCTTTAACTTACGACGCGACTGAAGGCGAAATGGCGAAAGCACTTAAAGCTGTTGACACTTCGAGCGACGTATTGAGCGTAACTCGAACGGGCCCCTTCTTGAACAATGCGCACGAGTGGAGAGTAACCTTTGCTGGATTTCCGCGTCACGTTAGGAGCATCGGTACTGATTTAAGTGGGTTAGCTCAAGGGCGAGGACAAATGACTGTAAACCTGCTATCACCCGGAGCAAAAGGTGAACAACAGCAGATCTCTACGACCTTGTCAGGTGGGAGCTTTAAATGCAGCTTAGGAGCGAGAGTGAGTGGTGATATTGCGGTTAGCTCGACGGCAGGAGAAGTCTTACAAGCGTTCGATAGCGTCACATTCGGGCGTGCTGACGTCACGGGTAATGCAGGGGGCCGTGGATCATCACGTTTGTGGATTGGGCAGGGAATCTGCCTCTCTTGTCCTGTGGTACAACTCAAACGGTGACGGAAGTGACAGCCGGCACTGGAAGGAGCTTATGTATCACAAGGTGGAGGAAAGCGCAAAGGAAGCACTGCAGTGTACCTAGAGCCATGGCATGCTGATGTTGAATCTGCGATTCGTTCTCAGAAACAACAAGGAGCTCCAGAAGTACTCTGTCGTGATTTGTTCCTTTCCCTGTGGGTTCCAGATATATTCATCCGTCGCTTGAAGCAAACATTGAAGTCTAAGACACCCGTGATGTGGTCACTCATGTGTCCACATGAATGTCCTGGATTGACGGATAAGCTCGTATGAATCGAAGGGGGTATACCGCAAGCAGGTGCCAATCAAGACATTATGGAATATCATCATGAACACTCAGATCGAAACGGGAAAGCCATACCTGATGTACAAAGACCACGTGAATAGGAAATGCAATCAGAACAGTCTTGGAGTTATCAAGTCAAGCAACTTATGTGCCGAAATCACAATATATAGTGATACAGACAATACCGGAGTCTGAAACCTAGCTAGTATTGGGTTACCCAAGTTTGTCAGTATGGGCGATGACAACGAAGTCAAGTTTGACTACGCCAAACTAAACGAGGTTGTCCAGTCGGTTACTATCAACATGAACAAGGTGACTGTTAATCATCTATACATTTTGGAGCAAGCTCGTGCGTCGGACATGAAAAATCGTCCCATTGGCATTGGTGTCCAAGGTTTATCCGAAGTGTTTGCGATGATGAAGGTCTCCTTTGACAATTGGCAATTGAAACAATCTACTATGGTGTAACAGGACTAAATTACGAGAGACCGACGAGCAGCAGGAAATAGCGATAGCGGGTGATGCCAACGAGGAACGGCTGAGTGACGTCGAGCAGAGACTGGACGTTGAAGTTATGCGGACCGCTGGACGTGTGGAGATCTTGAGAAGCCAGAGAGTGTGTGGCGACCATCCAAGATCCACCGAGAAATCGAACAATAACGGAGGGTACGAGCAGCTGCCAGGTAGATAAGAGAGACGCACGAGCATCGTGGAAGACGAAGAGCAGTCAGTAGCGAATTTACAGTGGCGAGCAGAAGCAGTAGCGAATTTGCATCGGCGAGCAGAAGCGGTGGCGACTGTGCGGTGTGAGGCGCAGAGCAGAGCTGAAGCGCAGTACGAGGACGGAGTCAAGCGATGAAGAGACTGTACGGTGGGGCGTGAGCCGAACCGAGTGACGAGTGACGAGCAACTGAGTAATTGAGGAACGAGTACCTACGAGGACGACTGAGGCGTACCGGTTGGGTTCTGAGCGGCAAGCATGACGAGAGTAGCAGCGACGGGCTATCGGGGACGGGTCATTAACAGCTACGGGACGCCACGAATGCGGGATTCATGGGACGACTGGCAGGTCAAGGTTGGCCGAGTAGATTGAGACGAGTTGAGGACGATTTTGAGTACGAAGAGTAGTGGGAACGAGTGTATTGAGTTGAGTAATAACAAATAGGGGCGGAAACGCACCGGCGCAGGTTTGACTGGGCCAACTGGTGTTGAACTTTCGATTGAGAGCGAAAACGAACAAGAACCCGGCGAGACAACGTAGCAGGCACTTACAGCAGTTGAAGTGCTACACGAGAGCTTGTTAGCTTTATCACATGGTGGTCATACAGAGACTCCAGACATTGAGAGTGACGCGGTCTAAAGATTGAAGTGAAGAAACGATGGGAACGACGAAATCAGTAACGATGACGGTCACACCTACTGGTGTAATGAAGGATTCAAGGCACTGAAGTCTAAGCGGTTGCAGCGGCGAGCTTCTAGAATAAGGAAGTCGGACAGTGACGAGGAAAGTATCGAGAGTGAACGGGAGGCAAAAAAACGCCAGCAGAAGCAGCACCTACTCTGGACCCAACCACTCCAACAGACCCGTATCCTGACACCGATGAACTGGAGAGCGGCCCAGAGGCTACCACGCAGAAGCCAGCCACTCAATTGCAATCGAGGCCGCAAGGAACGTCACAGGAACCTACCGAGCCAGGGAACCCTGAGGACAACCCGTACGCAGCAGCAACCGAGACACCGGCGCCGATGTCCGAAATAGCTGCATTACACGCAGCGGTACGACGATTGGCCGGCGTGGTGGAGGAGTTGAAAATAGACGTGAACCCGCGAGCATCGGGCAAACAACGACGTCAATACGCCACAGAAGACCAACGCCAAACGAGCGAGGATGAACGAGGTCGCGAAGAAGAATGGGCAGCGCAACAGGAGACGCTGCCTGCAACGACCACAGCTGATGATGACGAAGCGTGTGGGACCCCGCCAGTCGACAAGTGTGACACGAGCTCAGAGTAAGTTCCAACGGTCTCCTACGAAGAACCAAGCAGAGCGAAGAAAGCAGAGCCTCGCAGTCGCCGTCCGGAGCCTAGTCGGCCTGAATCAAGCAGAAAGCAGCCTCGTTCGAGGAACCACGATCGTTAGAAGCGATCACGACGCTATGAGCACCGATCAGCGGGGAACCGAAAGAGTACCACGCAAGCCTGTCCACGAGAGCAGCAGCCACTGGCGAGAAGAGCGAATGATAATGAAGAACGATAGGCAGAGCAACGCCGACGACCACGAGGCGAGAGACTTCGGCACCGACAACGAGCAGAGCAACCTTTCGGACGACTAGCCAGAGGACGATGACTCGAGTGACGAAGAGGGTCGGCGAGATCACCAAGCCAGTAACCAAAGACGTGATGCTGACTACGATTCAGGAGATAGTCCCGGTTAAAGTGACAGTTCTGACGATGACCGTAGCGATGAAGAGAGTGACAGTGAGGGCCGAAGACCCCGGATGGACCGACACCATCGCAGAGGTGATGCCGAAGCCGACGCCAGACGCTGGAGAGCTGCAAGACGAGTGATCAAAGACCTGGAACAACCGTCTTTTACGCCGACGACAGGAGGATCCGTAGCAACGTGGATCGATCGCGTAGATTTGGCACTACGAGGGGCACGAGAATCGGGGTGCGCAGAGTTAACAGACCGATCGTTGTACTTCGCGTTGGGACCGAAGCTTCAAGATAGCGCTGCAAGGTGGTTTGTTAATCGAGATCGGAGATTCGCTTCGCAGAGATCGAGGACTTGGACGAACTTGAAACGAATGCTGTTGGGACGCTACGCTTCGAGGTTGGACCTGGCCGCGGCTGAATGGAGAGTGAACTCGAGGAAGATGGAGGCGGGCGAGACGTACGCAGACTTCGCCGCGAAATTGAGAGATGCAGCCGATCGGAAACCGGTGAGTGGACGAGTGTTGATGGCGCAGTTTTACCGCGAACTGGACAAAACCACAAGACAACTGATCAAACAAGCACCGGAGCCACGAGATCTTGAAGAGGCAGCGGAAAAGGCAGCGGAAATTGATGACCCAGCTGATAACGTAGCACATGGGATGCAGAATACTGAACAACCATTCCCTGCGGCGAATTTGCCAGTAGTACAGTTGGAAAGCGCGAATGGTCAAGTAATGGTGGTCCCAGGTGTTGGCAGAGTACTAGTGTCAGCAAATACGAGAACCAGTAGGACGAAAGACGAAAGCGACGACGATTCTGAACCAGAAGCTTTTGCATTGTTCACGAACCCACAGGGAGCTTACAATAAATTCACGGGAGTGATGGAGCATCCACCGGGTCACTCGTGGAATGGTAGGTTCTGGAAACAGAAGAAATGTGGAAACCGACGAAAGGCAGCAGCTAAGAAGGCAGAACCTCAGAAGCCCAAACGAAGATGAGAGCGGGTGGATTCCAGCGAGGACGAGGTGGAAGAGAAAGCGGCGCCAAAGAAACGAAAAGCAGTAGTCAAAAGAGTTGTGGCGGAAGAGAGGACGTCTGTCACACGAGCTGTGGAACCACACGCGGCTGTAGGATCAGGAGGCCAAGTTGAACAGATGCGAGAGGGAGTCATGAGGTGCTTTCGTTGCGGACAACTGGGACATTGGTCGGGGCAGTGTACCAAGGAGGTGAAGTGTTATGCGTGTCGGAAGGAAGGTCACTTCGCTCGAGAATGTCCAGACAGTGACGCTAAGAAACGGAATGATGCGTATCTACAGCAGAGGGCCAAGGACGAAAGCAAAGTCGGTGGAAAACGGCAACCGGGCGTAGTAGTAATGGGGGTACGACGTCCGTGGTCAACACGATTCCCCGATCCATAGCGGAAGAGAAGAGGACGCACGGTGCGACGAAGGTATCAGCGGCAGAGGTACTAAACGAGAGGATGACGAAGATGAAGAGTAACAAACAGGAGCTAGACGACAATCGGGCGGCGTGCTATGTAGCTACCGTACGACCGGCGTTGGCGCAGACCGGTACTTGAGGCGGAACGATAGCGACGCTGGAAAAGGCGCGACGGTGTCGACAGTAGCAGTAGCTGAGAATGGAGAAGGCGTGAGCGAAGCGGGAATTGAAGAGCGACGGCGAGTAACTGCGCAACGACGTCTGGTACGAAGAGGAGTTCGCAAACAGGCGCGGCAACGTAAGCGAGAGGAACTGCAGGTCGTATGAGAACGTAGAGAGAAGCAAGAAGCTGATCGTTGTAGAACCGAGGTGGAACGGGACAATAAGCGGCTGAAGGAAGCTGAACGAGCTCTGGATGAATTGGCCCAGCGTCGACGGCCAACACCAGGGAGCACGGCTATTACGGAAACGGAGCGCATTGAGGCAAACGACGGGCTACCAACGGCGACAGTGACAGTGGATGGTGTACCGCGGCGAATTCAACTAGACAGTTGTGCGCGATACTTGATTGCGGGTACTGGATGGATAAAACACGGCGACCGGGTTGAAGGAGAAGCTCCGGTGGACTACGTCGAGGGGATCAGTGGATTGATCTTGCAGTGTACGCGTATAATTCTGGACGACATACGACGGTAGAGCTGTCACCAAATGAGCTGATGATGGGGAGGAAATTCGCAATCCGAACGAGTTACTGGGAGCGACGCACGTATCGGAGACAGGAGAATTCACGGAGTATCATCAGAAGTTGTTAACAGCCTTGAAAACGATTGACGAGAGGGCGGAACGTGCGAGGAACCGAGAGCAAGAACGACAAGCTCAGTACTACGATTGTAAAGTAAAACAACGGAGACACTTTGAGCCGGGTGAGTGAGTGTGGATGTATCGGGAGAAATTAATGCAACCAGAAAAACGGTCCTGCATCCGAAAAAATGTCCTGCAATTTAGGACTATTTGTAGGACCAATTCATGACTTGCAGGACATTTTTTCGGATGTATTAAGGATACGCTACCCAATTTGTAATGTCTAAGTGAGCGCGATAGCGCTCCAGACCAACTAAGGTTAGCGGGTGTGAGGCGGGCCCAGCGCCGAGCTCACCAGCGAGCCGCACACTAAACACTCCAGTACATCCTCGCGAGCGAAGCGAACCGCGGCTGGTCACTTTTTTTTGTTGCTGTATTGGTACTCTTCTATATAATTAACTCACCTAAAAATGGTGAATGTACCTAAGTTTAGGACATTTTGTAGGACATTTTCAGTGTTTGCAGGACATTTTGTAGGACGTAGTTGTAGGACATTTTTTTCGGATGCAGGACCATTTTTCTGGCTGCATTAATGGCATTCGCTAGTTTACTGACGGTTGTTACCGAAGAGTATATTTATTTATGAAGGTTTTTGGCTCTACTCTGCGGGACAATATGCCGGGTTCCCCGGCCATTACCGTTCCTCGAGGTATGGATCTGTAGTAGTTTTGACTATGTCACTATCTAGTTAAATAGTACTAGTGTTAGTGTAAGTAGTACTATTGATTGAACAAAATCATCGCTAATCCCTTTAGTCTGTCAGTTCTGAGCCTTCTTGTGGCTGTGCTTCATCAGCACTCGCACCATGACAGGCAGATGGCCGTACAATCTTGAAGGCTTCTGACTACAAAATTACCTGTAGAAGAAATACATTTCTGCAGCCGATATATGGTGCTAGACACGGACAAATATGTGGCAATACTGGAATAGAATGAAATGCTTGTTACCTGTGTCTATCAGACGGACAACACTGCGACTTGTAGTACAGGTATAAAATATTTCTTTGCTAGTATCTCGGCAGGCCCAATTTAAGAAGCTAGCTGCCGGTCATTCGAATCAAACAGTAGCAGCAAATTTTTATGTTAATTTCCAGCACTCAGACATAGACACGTCAGGTTGG